TGCCTGCCTGCCTGCCTGCCTGCCTGCGAAGCTTTTTTTTTTTTTTTTTTGCGTGGAGGTTGGGATGCGGGTGTTTTGGGTGTGGGGGAAGTGCAGTCCAAGCAGCCACGACTGCCAACACATGCACACGCACACACAAAGCCGATCCGGGGGTGTCCCTCCCTTCCCAGGCTAAGCTGGATCGGGATGCCTGGCCTGGTAGAACTGGACTGGCCACTCTCCAGCCCCAGCCCTCGCCCCGCGGCTTCCCCCGAAATTCCGGGCCGAACCCGGGGACGGGGACTTCGCGGTTCGTCTCTGTTTTGCTAGAAAGAGCCACCAAGCCCCAGAGACGTGCCCTTCGCCGGGCTAAAGGCTTGGCGGAGGTTCTTTGCAGAAAACCACCCTGGCGATCCTCGACGTCTTGCCACTGGGTCGGCTTCCCTGCTCCCCGGAAGGTCCTGAAAACTGCTCTCGGTTTTTTAAAGGGTGGTTTGAAAACGAAGTTGCTGAGTTAAACAAAAATGTTAGTTAACATACTGCCTTTGTCAAATAGCCCCCGGGAGGAAAAGAGATAACAGAAAGGCAGAGGAAGGAGGGGGTCTCGGGATCTGAAAGTGTCTGTAGCTTAGATAAAGGGGTCTCTAACACTGAGATCTTGTAATACCTCGCTTCAAACTGAGCTCATCTGTAGACTTAGGGGACGCTTTCAAAAGGCACGGATCGTCTTTCCCTTGGGCGAGAGAGAGGGAAGGGGGAGCCCGGCCATTTATTAGGGAATTATGGCGGGTTATTAAAAAGAGAGGAGATTGTAATTATGTATATCCTCCTCCTGGCCCTGTACGTCCCTAGCACAGGTTTGGGAGATGCAGTACGAAAGTCTCTCGGTTGCCCTGGCACGCTCTTTGTCTGAAAGAATGAGTGGCCGGAGCTGGCTCTTATACCCTTGCTCAAAGTCTGTTTCGCTCAGGGGCGTGGGGGTGGCATCCAAAATCGGATGGTCTGTTTTCCCATACATGTGAAATACAACGTCATTAACTCTCTTTTTCTCCCTGCTTGGAAGATCCTGCTACTTTCTCCCCCCCCCCCTTTTCCCTCCAACATCCCCCCCCCCTCCCACCCATACAAACACACCGTGAGGGGCGGCGCAGGTGTTGGCACCGGCACCGCGGGG